CCGCCGCCTGACACACGCCCCAGACCGGCCGACCGGACAGCACGGCGGCGCGGCCGGCTCCAGCTGCAGCCGGCGACGCGCCCGGCTCCAGCTGCTGCCGGCGACGCGGCCGGCTCCAGCTGCTGCCGGCGGCGCGGCCGGCTCCAGCTGCAAGCGGCAGGGCGGGCGGCTCCAGCTGCAGGCGGTGGCGCGGCCGGCTTCAGCTGCAGGCGGCGGCGCGGTCGGCTCCAGCTGCTGGCGGCGGCGCGGGCACGACGGCCGCACCGCCGGCAGTCTCACCTTTCTCGCCGTACGGGTCCTTGTTGACCAGGTCGGGCGTCTCGGTCAGATCGGCGTTCCGTTCCACCAGCTTGCCCGAGACGGGCGCGTAGATGTCGCTCACAGCCTTGACGCTCTCCACCGATCCGCACTCGTCTGGCGGCGGCGGGAGCCGGGAGCGCGCTCAGGCGACGCCGCGTCACGTCACGTGCGGATAACAGCGGCTCGGGGCCTCGTCAGGTCAGACCTGCGGCCTCGGGCCCTGAGCTCCGGCCAACGGGGCCCTGGGCAAGGGTCACGGGCCGGGGAGATCCTGACGTTGCCGCCAGACGGGCCCTGAGCTCGGGTCGGGTGGGGCCACGGGCCAGGTTCACGCATGCAGTGGGAGTGGGCACGTGTTTACTGTCCTGTGCTAGTCTTAAATGATGAGAGGGGTGAAAGGACATCACGTTCAGAGGGCGGACAAGTCACAGCGGGCGGGGCGGCCTACACAACTCGGACGCGAGCATACAGACGCGCAGGAAACGACCGCCGGCGGCCGGCTGTTTCCTGCTAATGGCGGGCGGCGGCGGATAATGCTACACAACAATCTACTGATGAAATATATATAAAGCCTAAACTCAAAGATGAAGATACCTTAGAGCCGCTGATAACTGGTTTCAATAAAGGCTAACAAACAGGATGATGTGAAGACCGCCTTACCGCCCTGATCCACCTCATGGTCCCGGCTCGGCTATCTCCACGTACACCAAGTCACCCATAGACTCCTGCAACGGCACCAGACGGCGGCAGCGTCACGTTTCAGTAGTGTCACGCTCGCTTCGCGCCGGCTGCCGGCGAGAGGGCTGCGAGCGCGTGCTCACGCCATACATGTCACTAGGTCGCCCACGCATCGCGCCCGCCGTTTATCCCGGCACACTGGGCCTCCGCTCGCCGCGGCACAGTTCATCCTTATTCAGCCCGAATGTCGTGAACACGGGGCCCGAAAGGCCGCCGCGTTCATGCCGCGACACAGCACGCGACCCTGAGCTCAGGGGTCGGTTCGCGGGCGCCCGGCCGGCCAGCCAGCGGAGGTCCGAGGCGAGGACAGCGCGTCGCCACGCTGACACAGGCCAGCCGCACCAGGCACCCGGCACCGGCCGGCCGAGCGACGCAGCCATTGTAAGCAAACGGCACCGCCGGGCTGGGCCGGGCCGGGCCGGACCGCTACCGACCGGCGGCCGCGGCCCGCGGCTGACCCGGCCGGCCCAGCCGCGCCGAAGGCCGGGCGCGTCGCTGGTCACTGTCCTCGTGTTTTGGCGCAGGGATCTCCTGCTAAATATGACTTGGCTATTTATAGCCAGCTATTCGGCTATCAAGCTTGCCGTTTAAATGGTACAGTGAACAGTACACGCGAGCTCGGTTCACGAATGGCAAACAAATGAGCTTCGCATTCATCACATTTCAGCAATAAAATCCTCCCATGTTAAGAAACAAAAGTGAAGTGCAGCATAGCAGAACTAATGGTACCTGCACGCTCATTTCATGTTAAGCTTATGCCATTTTGGGGTAAATGAACTGAAGCAGCGCAGATTCCACAAATGGTTTCCCCTATTTGTCACTGACCCCAGTTGACCCTTGTCTCCCACTGCAACCAGTGGGAGGGGCGGGGGGGAGGAGGCTAAACGAGCACAGGTGGGCCCAACTCGCCGCTGACCAGAGCCGGCGCGCAGCTGTCCGGCCAGGTCCGGTCACGCGGTGCCCGCGGCCGCGACCCCCTCCGTGCCGGGCCGCGGTCACTCGCGGAGCCGGTCCGCGCCGGCGCACGCCGCTACCGGCTCTTGGCCGGCCGCACGGAGCGCAGGCTCATCGCCGGCGCACTGCAGCTCCGGCTCTTGGGCCGCCGCACGGAGAGGCAGGCTCATCGCCTGAGGGCGAGCCGTGTCGCGGGACCGCAGCAGCCGTGGCCCGAGACGCAGGGAGGGCGGCGCTGCGCGGGATGGCGAGGGGAGCCTTCAACACCGGTGAAGACGTCACACAGTCGGGCGGTGCAGGAGCCGACGGCAGGGCAGGGACCGACGCAACGCCGACGCACTGCCCACCTGGGGTCCCTGGACGCATGCAAGGTGTAAACAACAAATGCGATCGACCCGATTGCACGAAACAACACAACAATTTGCGGGATTGAAGAAGCAGGTGGTGACTGTTAACGACGCGAATCGGTCGCCACGGGGGTCAGACCCGTCACCGCAGCACTTGGCAGCGGGCGGCGATGGTGTGCGCCCACCACGGCGGTATTTGGCAGCCGGAGGCGACTGCTATTGGAACGTGTCGGAAGTCACGGGCTCGTGGTGAAGCAGCACTTGACCTTTCCGGGTCCAACAGTCAATCCCACCGCTCATCTCATCCTGTGACCTTGACACCGACGTTCCGCCTCACGAACACCCAGGCGCAAAAAGAACAACAACAAGTACAAATGGCCGCCTCCGAACTGCCGGGCCCAAAACGCATTCCAAAAGAAACATCGCCGCCCAATTAGGCATTCGTCACAAACACCCCGCAGAAAACACGCCACAACGCTCATCACCATGTTGTGCCCCGGACAAGCAGCATCCGCTCAAATGAGGCAACCCGGCGCAGCGCACTCACCAACGGATTGGACTTCCACGCTCCTGGCTAAGAAAACCCACGGACAACATTCATGCATCAATGTCTGAAGCAAATAAACAAACACCCAGCGGCAACCCGTGGGTCCCGAGCGCAGACCACGGCACGGACGGGAGCGGGCCCCGGCGGCAGGCCGGGCAGCGGCCCACTCACGGCGGCTTGGCGGTGATGCCGACGGTGCCGACACCGCCCTCCATGCGCACCCACTCGTGCTGCTCCGTGTACTTGAGCTCTGCCGGCAGGCGGGGCAACGGTCACGACCCTGCGGCGCGCCGCCGCCAGCCACGCCAACGCGTGCGCGAGAAGACGAAACGGCTGGGACGCCACTGACGTGGTTAACTGCCTGACGCTGTGTAAGAGCCCGGACTGCTCCGTGTTACAATCTTGGAGGATCTTAAATAAAACCTAACATGGCCGCCTTGCTGATTGGAGAAATGAATGCTGCGGAGAGCTTTCGGCGAGATGAAGCATTATTACCCCAAGATGTCCCGGCCCCGCCGTGGAGGGCACATACCTGCACCTCATGTGAGCTTAATCCCCCAGGTCGTCAGGTCTGACCAAGTTTATCGTATTGCGTGAAAATATGTTGTAATAGATTGCTGTGTTACAGTAACGATCCCATTGATCCCGGTCGGCCAGACCCACCCTGTGGCTGGAGCCCCATCTTCTCTGAAAACGGTAATGCCAGCTTATCCATAGCAACGTCTCCCCGAGAAACGACAGGCTAGCCACTCTCTTGGAGAAAAACGACTAACTAAAGGCCCGAGGTGATTAGCAGAGACATAACAGAATTAGCCCACGGGTCTAGACAGGTGCCATCGGGTCTAAATGGTCCCAAAGAGCTTGACGACCCTCGGGGCTAGACAATCCCATCGGGGCTAGATGGTTTCCCTGGATCAAGACGTCCCGAGGGGCTTGACAGCCCTAGGGGCTAGACGGTTCCCTCGGATCTAGACGGCCCCTCGGGCTAATCAGTCCCACGGGGCTAGACGACTCGGATCTAGAGATAGAGCAACGACAGCCGGCATGTGCCTTTTCTTCTTGGTGTGCGCGTCTGGGCATGCTGGCTACTAAGGTCACCTGGCAGAGCCCGCGTACCGCCCAGGGCGACACAGCTGACCTCTGGTGGCCAAAATGGCCCGCGCCCCGGCTCGGTGGCCGGGGCGGCAGCACGCGAGTCCGGCGTCGCAGTAACGTAAACAGGCCGTGGCGTCTGGCCGCCGTACGACAGGACGCGTCTCGTTGCGGCGCCGCGAGCCAGCCACCGTCCGAACAACCGACCACGCACGCGCCTGTCTCCCCAGTGGCGGGGTGGAGGCGGGGGCTGGACAGGGCGGAAGGCTGTTAAATGCACACGCTGTCTGGTCAGACGCAGAGTAACGTTGCTCCTTTGACTGATTACTTCCTTTCTCTCGCGCAACAGATCGTCGTCCGACGTCATGAAGACATTGGCCAGGCCTAATATAATGTGCTCAGGCGTAATCCCGAGTAAAAGCGTCTTCAGGTCAGGCTGTATTACTGGTTTAGGGTTATGTGCCCTGCGAGATCAGTTTCACGCAAGTTTTCGGTTATTTGCTGCTTGGGGCAAAACAGATAGCACATTGGCAGATAGCACAGGTGCAGTTTATCACGTCCTCACGATACCTCGATTACCTACGCCCGATCAACAAAGTACGGCCGATTACGTCAAGGCCAGCCGATTTTTGAGCCGCATCTGCCATCTCAGGAGAAACCCCGCTTTTATCAAGGCATTGGTGATTTCTCCCTTCCAAACCAAAGGAGATAGTCTACGGCGCCAGAGGATAACGTGAACATGACAACTGAAGAGTGACCGCTGCGTACCAAGAATAGGCATAGCACTGGAACAGGTGGTGGCCTCCACATCACACGCACCGCCGGAATCAACTTAATAGGGCGCTGAGTAGCCACGGGAGGTTCGCGGCACACCCTGGGAGGCGGCGCTCACCCTGAGCTCGTGCCCCGCATCCCCCGCGGTGGCACGCGGCCGTGAGCCGGGGCCGCATGGGGTCAGCACCACGTCAGGGGAGGCGGCTCCACCCACCGTCGTCTAAGACCGGACAAGTCACGCCCGCGCCAGAGCGGGGCCGCAGGGGGTCAGCACCACGTCTGAGGAGGCGGCTCCACCGACCATCATCAGAGACCGGCGAGTCACGCCCGCGCGAGAGCCGGGGCCGCAGGGGTCAGCACCACGTCTGAGGAGGCGGTTCCACCGACCGTCGTCAGAGATCGGGCGAGTCACGCCCGCACGAGAGCCGGGCCGCAGGGGGTCAGCACCACGTCTGAGGAGGCGGCTCCACCGACCGTCGTCAGAGATCGGGCGAGTCACGCCCGCACGAGAGCCGGGGCCGCAGGGGGTCAGCACCACGTCTGAGGGAGGCGGTTCCACCGACCAGCATCAGAGACCGGACAAAGTCACGCCCGCGCGAGAGCCGGGGCCGCAAGGCGTCAGCCACCACGTCTGAGGGAGGCGGCGCAACCGACCGTCGTCAGAGATCGGCGAGTCACGCCCGCGCGACGGCCGGGGCCGCAGGGGGTCAGCACCACGTCTGAGGAGGCTGTCTCCATCAACCGTCGTCAGAGGCCGGGCGAGTCACGCCGCGCGAGAGCCGAGACACGGGAGCAACTGTCTGGCCGGGGATACGCACGGCACCAGTCCGGTCCCAGGCTGTCTGGTCGGGGATGGACACCGCACCAGTCGGATCCAGGCTGTCTGGCCGGGGATGGACACAGCACCAGTCTCGTCCAGGCTGTCTGGCCGGGGATGGATACGGCACCAGTCGGGTCCAGGTTGTCTGGTCGGGGATGGACACGGCACAAGTCCGGTCCAGGCTTTCTGGTCAGGGATGGATACGGCACCAGTCGGATCCAGGCTGTCTGGCCGGGGATGGACACAGCACCAGTCTCGTCCAGGCTTTCTGGCCGGGGATGGATACGGCACCAGTCGGGTCCAGGCTGTCTGGTCGGGGATGGACACGGCACCAGTCCGGTCCAGGCTGTGTGGCCGGGGATGGGCACGGCACCAGTCGGATCCAGGCTGTCTGGCCGGGGATGGACACGGCACCAGTCCGGTCCAGGCTGTCTGGCCGGGGATGGGCACGGCACCAGTCCGGTCCAGGCCGTCTGGTCGGGTATAGGCACGGCACCAGTCCGGTCCAGGCTGTCTGGCCGGGGAAAGGCACGGCACCAGTCCGGTCCAGGCTGGCCGATCAACCAGAAGCCGATTGAACACTTACGTCCTGTTCGACGTCGATAGTGACACACAAATCTGTGGGTGGGGGTGGCGACATCGCCGCCAGCCAATGATGGGCGTTGCAGGTGTGCACGCACCCGTGTGCGGATGCAGCAGAAGCCGCCGGTGCTGTCCCGGCAGTATTATCGAGGTGAGGAGGGCGCAGGCCACACCACCGTGCGGACGTCCTCCGACGCCGCAGCATCACACAGGCTTGTCAGAGCAGTTGGCCCCACCAAAGCTGGCTTTTTTAGTTATATGCAGGAAGTGGTGGCAAACTCCAGATTTATGCCGTATTTTCTTTTTCACAAGAGCTTTCTCTTTGTGCTGCAACACACTGGTAGAAAGTGGTCCTAACAAAGCCTGGGGGAGGCAAATATCCACCAGGTCTCCTTTCATCATGGCAGAGTTTTAGTCTAGGCCATTGTGGCCTGAAACAAAGGGCAAAAGTGGCAACACCAAAGCTCACAGCTGTTTGCCAGGCTGGAGAGCTACATGTGCAGACATTTTGTTTGTTTTGTGAAAATCAAAATTAGCAAGCTTTCATAGCATGCACAATGCATGCAAGCCTCCACTCATGGTGTGTTTATTCCACTCATTCCAAGTTCATTCCACTTGTGTATGTTCATTGAAGAAGATAGCCTGAGTCAACATCTGACCTTGTCTTCAGTTGATAAATGTGGCTCACAAAGCTTAGGGGATCTGGCTTGTTTTATACAAGTCACAAGTTACTTTTGGAATGTTGGCTAGTATCAAAGCTATATCAAGCCAATCACAAAGCTAGTATTCATCAGACTATGACAGCAAACTTCCACACAAAGCTCCACCACTGCTGCTTGTAATTAGATGCTTAACAGACCCAAATACTATGCTACATTATTGAAACATTCAAGTGCATATGACTGATCCAGGGTGGCAATACTCTAACATATGAGCCTCCACAGCATAGGCCCAGGCAATGGCAAACAGGCAAAATATCAGTCACACTGGATATAGGTCCCAAGATACATGGAAAGTTTGTAGGTCATTATTAGAGAAGTTGTCAGAATGTTTCATTTTTGCACCAATGACTCTGCAGAATGTTGCAACACTTAAGATCAGTATTCCAATATTAAATTAATTGGTGTCAGAGAAGACAATATCACCCAAACTGTGTGAGCTGCCTTGAAAATGAATGGCCAGACAGCACAGAATAACAAAATTGTATCTATGCATTTCAAATACACCCATTCATAGCTGTTGAGAGGAACACAGATAATAAGAATCAGGAGAACTGTGGAAACCTGTCATGTTAAAGTGTCATTCATTTTAAAGTGTGGCTTCATATGCAGCCACTAGAAGGGGGCAGGGCCATCAACAATGAGTGCAGATTAGTTAATACCCCCCTTCCCTTAAAAAGCCTTGTCAATGACCTCCAACATGCTAAAAACAACACTGTTATGACTCAAAACCATCAAGGTTGGTACATAACATGTGGCATGTCATCTTTTGGACCTGCATTACAATTGCAGTGTTTTGAAACTACCACAGGGTATGGAAAAAAGCTTACAGAAAAAAATGAAAGCCAAAACAGAGCTGTGTAACTGAGCAAACTGACTTCCATCAGCTACAGTTGACTTGGAACAATTTTCCTAGGGACGCATCACTTGATTGGCCCTACAAGCAAGACGTCCAGCCCCTTAGAATACCAGTATTTCCATGAGCCCTCCTCGGCCTCAAATCTTGGCCACGGCTATAGAAGAGGTACCGCCGACCGCATGGGTACATACCAGCTAGACGACGGGATGAAACGGAGAGGTGCCTTCGCGCGGAACAGTGTAAGTTATGGTGAGTTAAGCCGTTTTGAACACGCTTTAAACATAACGGGGTAATAATCCGAAATGCACAACCCATACGCAGCCCCAACGAAGCCATCTCCACTCGGACAACACGTTAACCAAACACGCAACCCACGCCCTCCGTCCGAGCGGTAACAATCGCCGGGAACTCGTAGCGCACCGGGAACGCAATGCGCAAGGCTGTGTATAAACCTTAAGTCAAAACGCTATCTCATTCCTTCTACGACAGTTCTAAATTACGTCAGTGGAAGAAATAATGCGGTGCACGACCCATGAAGCCATGAAAACACGAGACCGGGGCAAAAGAGGTGGCGACAAAAAGACAAAAAAGTGTACCTCTATGGTAGAATAACGCCGTCTGCGCCGACAAGGTTCGGATAATGGTGGTATATGTCATCTACAACGGTGAATGACACCGCTCCAACGACCGAGGACTTTCAGTTCTCAGCACCATCGGCGTCGCAATTCAGTGCTATCTCCATGGACTTCGATGCTATAGTAGTCATGACTACCATCCCCGTTGTTTTAATAGCACGACGTATTTGGAAGCAGAATCTGATATCCGATTGATTCAGCTTTTTCTTGAACGGTAGTTGTGATTTTAGCGACATCGGTAGCTCCCTGAATGCACGTGCGTAATCTTACGAAAGAAATTGCTAAAAACAGCTGTGTGGGCTTGCTGCAGGCTTAGCTTGCCCGAACATCATTTTAGCCACGCCTGTGTCATGTTTGAGCCGGCTGACGGCGGTGTCTGGCGTCCACAAGGTACGTCTCCAAGCCCTGACAGAACGGCTTAGATGTGAATGCGCGAAAGACGCGCACTTGGGTACAACCACATTTCTGGGATGGGGAAAGTGACAAATCATCTCGAAGGCAATTCTGGACGGAGGGAGGTGTGAATGATGTTGGCTAAAATGGAGGGAACAAATCCCCACTTCGTAAAAATCAAAGTCAATTGGCTTGCGACCTGGAACCCTGGCCGCTCCCAGGACCGTTAGAAGCGCCGCCAATAGCTACGGAGGAGGGATACGGCTGTGGAGAGCCGGCCAAGCGACGACACTGGGGCGGGTGACGCCACCTATCTTCACAGAGTGGGGATAGGGTTTCCACGGAGCCGCTGCTTGCGCCCTGCGGACCTGCAGCGTTTCCAGACCGAACGGCGCACAGCGGTGTCGACAATGGGCTAGGAGTCCGGTCATTCCGATCGCTGCACAGACCAGGTCCAAAGCGATAACCGATTTGCGTGCCACCAACGGCCAAAGCCGTCATCAGCGGTTTGCATAGCTCCCACACGGAGCACAGGTATATCGACACTGTAATGCATAATACTGCAGCATTTTGTAGTGTCGGGGCGGTCACAGCATCAAGCGAGCGAACCGGCACCAGTTACCACCGCTAAGCAACGAACAGGAAGAGTAAATATGCCGCGATACGCAACGCGTCGTGCCTTGTCATGAATACGCCACAGCTGGATTGCAGACATGTACATAAATGCACCGCAGTTGAATTGCAGACATTGCCATTCCTAGAACATTTGCAACACTTTTTCCGTGCATTCAAACGGCCAGACCTACCGCTGTAGACAATTATGAATTGTTGGAGTTGGAGAACAGGTGATTGCACGTAAGCCTGCCAGTAACGGTCGTGAAGTAGTTTTCAGCGTTGCAATGAGAAATGCATAGGGAACCGACTGTCCAATTTCGTTGCATTTTCTCCTTTCACGCCAGACTCGAAAATATCTCCGAGCAAGTTCTACGTTTCTAGTTGACAAAGAAGGCGCTAAATGTCATAGAATAAAGGTAACGAATGCAACGAACAAATTCAAAATGTAGTAATAACGTAAATCCGTCGCATTCCAGGCCTACCGAAGTGCCGAGTGTAAACAAAACGGGAATCACCACAACCAGCTTAAACTCGGCTGACACATGCACCACTATATTTGACACGATCATGACATGGCCACACACTACACAACGACTTCAGACCGTTCTCGGGTCACGCGCAAGCTTCAGCACTGCGCAAGCGGCGAGCGAGCGGGGCGCCGTCACCACTGGTGCGGCTCCCACTTGCCGTCGTCATGCCACTTGACCTCAGGCTCGCGGTGGGACCAGTCCTTCTTGCCCTCCTGCCAGCCGCGCGGGGGTGCGCTCTTGTAGTCGAACGTCACACCGCCGTCCTTACCCGCCAACTGCGCCTCCAGGTCAACGTGCTCCCTGCGGGGCATCATAGGTCAAATCGGATCAAATCAGGTCAGGTCAGTGGCCCAGCTGTCTCGCAGGCAGACCGTAACCGGCGTTTGTATGTGGTCGGCGACCTAAGTATGTTTCACGTGCCATCTACGGGACAGAGGTGGCATTGGAGGCGTATGCCAAAGCCGAACACACTAGGCTGGAAAACCATGAAGCCGGTGTATAGTATAGAAATAGTATATAAATATATGGTATATCTAGTATAGAAAACCATGAATACAGTGTATAGTAACGGTATTAAGAAGACAAAACCAATTTCAAGTCTCCTAAAACTGTATAGGACCAGGAAATACCCCCAGGGTTTTGTGCAGTGATTGAGACTTAGTGTTAGCATCAGCGAATGACAATTTTTCGGACCATCGTGATCATGACGTGTTTAAGTATACATATAACGTTTGGGACAGTTTGTTCCCCGGCCATCGTCCGGCGTTCGGTGGTCCTGAGAATGACCGTCTGTTTTTTTGTCCTGAGAATGACCGCCTGTTTTTTTGGTCCTGAGAATGACCTCTGTTTTTTGGTCCTCAGAATGACCGTCTGTTTTTTGGTCCTGAGAATGACCGTCTGCGAGCAAGGTATGGCTCGCTGCCTCGAAACTTGCGTGGTGTATAGGGGTAAAATTACGGGCGAGGCTATACTTGAGAAGTAGCATACAACTGCAGCAAGAACACCATGACAAAGTCACAGGCGGTAGTTCAAGATCCCACGAAGTCGAAGCCAACCATTCAAAAACGCGGAAACCGAGGACATGACCGCAGCCTGGTGTGGGCCCAACACTGAGTGTGTGTTAAGCATACTTCCACAAGTCACAACAGCACAGCAAAAACGTTCGCCTGACACTGGCGGAAGTTGGCGTCATTTCATGGAACGTTTGGAACGAACGCACGAACGGAACGAACGTTTGGAACGAACGAATGCACCAATAGCACGTTGAGTGTGGGTGTCATGACAATGAAGCATCATATTCCTCAAAATACCCATCAGCGCACTGCAGTGAGGTTATGAAATCAGCGTGGCACAATAAAGCAAAGCCCAGGAGCTAAAGTGTGTTGTACAACTATGTGAGCAAACAAGACACACTCGTTTCTTTCACGGGAGCATTCACGCCCCAACCGGATATCCTCTGGCACCCACCTGAACTCCTTGCCCATGACGAGGCGGCCGGTGATGGGGTCTCGGTTATCACCGTAGTGGTACACCATCTTGAGCAACTGGTAGCGCAGCTTTCCGGGCATATCGTCTGGCAGCTGCTCCACCAGCACCGTGTCACCGGACTTGCACTGGCGCTCCGGATCCCGCACATCCAGCGTCCGGTCCTCCGGGAAAAACTGAGGTAGGTGGCTGATGTCACCCACATCCTCACTGTTAAACTGGGACACACACTGCATCACTCCATGTCAACATGGACACAATCATGTGTAAAATGTCACTAGGGTCCAATTATGTTTTGGTACCTTTTTGCATGGTTAGCATGCAGATAGCCCAAATTTGGCCAAAATTTCCTGAGACTGGTCCAGAGTACAACAACCCCAGAGATTTGTATGCCCATGCACCCAACAAAATAGGAAGTTAGCTGCACTTTGTGGTGCATGTCATGAATATCTATTGCCCAACACAGGAGAACCTTATCTTAATTGCTGCAGAGGGGATGCGCTATGTGCCTATTATGAAAGGTGCCAAAACAGTGATAGAAAAACAAAGCATCACATAATGGGTACTTCAGTCCTATGGATGCTTACATGGCAATTGGACACACTGAAGGGCATTAAGTTATTTTGCAAAATCAGGTGCTTTACATATAGGACATTGAACGTTACTTGAATATTTCAGACACCTCTAATGGCATATATTACATGACTTGTGAGCCATTCTGCTAAGTGGCATGTTTCCATAAGACAGCATTAGGGCTGTAGTGCTGCCCCATGTGTGAGCTCAGCTCGCCCTCCCAAGCATCTTGCAGATAACACACACCCTTGCATAGTCTGGAGACAAGTGTACCCAGCAAACAATAATGACCTTGGCAACCATGTGATTTGTGTTGAGAAATAATCATCAGTGTACCATATTTATAGATGCAATGAATAGAATAACCAACACATAAAACATACATACCATAAGAAGACAGATGTAAGATACTTACCACATTAAGAATCTCATCACGCTTCAGGGTCCGAACAGTGACCTTAGCCATTCCTTCAATATTGGAAGGCAAACATTGACCAAGATACATTGCTAAGCGCTTGCCAGCCATCTCTCAGCGCAATGAAAATAAACAAGCCTTTAGACGAAAGCCTGCTAACCTTAGAACCGCGGCAAATGATACAGAATGTTTCCCTGAATCCAATGTGCTACGAACACAAGCTATGTCCTCTTAATTACTTCCGTGCATAAATCGCATCGGCAAAAACACATAAGATGACACTATCTTGATTCACAGCATGGATATACGTTCACAGCATTAAAGACAGCTATACCGACAACTCTAACCTACCGTTACCAACACTGTATGGCCTTGATTCACCTGCCCGCGCCGCCAATGTTTCTTGTGCGGTATAATATTGGTAAGAGCACTAGTTCACTGCCGTGTGATTGAAAGTCGACGGGTTGGAATTTACTTAATTTCATTACGAGCATATCGACGACGCCAATCGTTCTTTTCATTGCTTGTCTCAGATTCTCTTCAGATGCTTCCTCACCTCTTAATGCTTACCTCACAAATGCGTCTAAACACACGCAGCAGGTTTCTTCCCCGCAGCCCGATGCATTTAATATTGGCTGCGCGTATACACCTTCCAAAACGGAGGGCGGTTACGCACCGGGTTTATGTACCCTCCAAAATGGGGCGTGGCTACGTACCGGGATTTTA